AAAATATGAATCACCGGTTATAATAATGGTGACGATGATGATGGTAATGATGATAATGATAATGAAAATACTAGTATTATTACTACCACAAATACTACTGCAAATGATAATGATAATAATAATGATGATTGATAATAATGATAATGATTTTTAACAATGATAATGATAATAATAATAGTAAAATGACAATGATGATGATTAATGATAATGATAATGATTATCAACAATAATGATGATGATGATGATAATAATAATAATAATGATAATAATAATGATAATAACAATGATGATGTTCAGAACACTGATAATGATGAAGTTAATATAAAGAGAAAGAAAGAAATACCGTAACTGGAAGATAAAAGGGAGGGAACACAAGGAAGGGGAAATAAGTCGTCGAAGAACAAAATCACGGTTACTTTTTTCTGTCCATGAAAATAATTCTCCCCCCCCCCTAAAAAAAAAGGAAAGAAAAAAATCCAAAGATATTTTTATTTATACTTTTGTGTAAACGCCTTATTCAGATTGTATTAAATGTTACGTTAACCAAGTGTGTGGAAATAGAGAAAAAATTAATGGAGGAAAAAATATGACCTTGCCATTTCAGTGGTTATTGCAAAAAGAAAAGGTCTGGTATTATGACAAGACAAGAAAGGAGAGACATAAATGGTAATGGGGTGCGAGGAAGAAAAATAAAGAAATTGGTGAAAATTATGTGAGGACAGGAAGGAATGTAAGGAAAGAGAGGAGGCACACACACACACACACACACACACACACACACACACACACACACACACACACACACACACACACACACACACACACACACACACACACACACACACATACACACACACACACGCACACACATACACACACACGTGCATTCACTTAGACACGCACCCCTCCCTCATAAAAATGCTCACTCACAATAACCCACCCACCTTCACACCCATCCACACACACCTTCCCACCCTCCCTCTTCCAACACACACCCTCCACCAACACACACCCCTCCTCCGACACTCTCTCCACCAACACCCCCCCTCCAACACGCACCCTCCACCAACACACACACCCTCCAACACGCACCCTCCTTAACACACTCCCTCCACCAACACTCCTTCCTCCAACACACTTCCTCCACCAACACTCCTTCCTCCAACACGCACCCTCCACCAACACCCCCCTACAACACGCACCTCCTTCAACACACTCCCTCCACCAACCCACTCCTTCCTCCAGCACACTCCCTCCTCCATCAACACACCCTCCTCCAACACCACCCTCCTCCAACACACTCCTCCACCAAACACTCCCTCCTCAACACACACCCTCCACCACACACACCAACCACACCACCACTCCTCCACCAAAACACACCCTCCCCCAACACACACCCTCATCCACACACTCCCTCCTCCAACACACACCCTCCACCAAACACAACCCTCCTCCACCAAAACACACACCTCCTCCAACACCACCCCTCCACCATCACAACAACACCCCCCTCCACCAAACACTCTCTCCACCACACACACCCTCCTCCTCCTCCAAAACACCCCACCTCCTTCGAGTGTACAACCCACAGACCCTCTTACCTTCTGGGCATCTCGTTTCCTATAAGCCTTGATGTAGAAATCAGTGAAGAGAACCAGGAACACGACAGCCATGATGCCGACCCAGCGAATGAGAGGCATCGGGACGGGGCACTCGACCATCATAGCCTGGAAAGGAAAATGTGAACTTGAATTCACACTCAAATTAAAGGCAAAGTTTTAGTCTCTGAAGATATAACCGGAATTGCAATCAAATTAATGGCAAAGTTTTAGGCCTGAAGATTTAAACTCGAACTTACATTCAAATAAAAGGCAAGATTTTAGTCCTGAAGATATAACATCGAACTTATACTAATTCAGTCCTGAAGATATAACATCGAACTTACACTCAAATTAAAGGTAGAATTTCAGTCCTGAAGATAAAACATTGAACTTACACTCAAATTAAAGGCAAAAAGTTTGTCCTGTTAGGGTTATACATATATACTTGGTTTAGTTTTGTTTTGATTCTTGCCTGATAGAGGTGTATAAAAGTCTATAATGTAGTAGTTAGAGATATTTTACACTCTACTGAACTTAAAAAGGTTAAACAACTACTTGTCTTCATACAATCATATCTGAATTTAACCGGTTCTACCAATATACACATGCGTATACCTAAATGCATTCATATACGTGTTTTATGTGTGGGCGCGCGCGTGTGTGTGTGGGGGTGTGTGTGTGAGTGTGTGTGTGTGTGTGTGTGTGTGTGTGTGTGTGTGTGTGTGTGTGTGTGTGTGTGTGTGTGTGTGTGTGGTGTGTGGTGTGTGTGCGTGCCGTGTGTGCGTGCCTACAAAACTAAAAAAAAAAAGAAAAAAAAAAAAAGAAAAGCCGATTCCCAGCCGAACCACTCACCGTCATAGAGTGCAGAACCATCAGCACGAACTGCACCATCTGCATCGACGTGACGTATTTCTTCCACCACAGGAAGGGCTTGGCGATGGGGCCCAAGGCAGCCAGGAGGTAATAAGTGTACATGACCGTGTGTACAAGTGCGTTCAAAAATCCGGCAAAGGTGTTGTGGCCGCCTGGAGGGAGGGGGAAAGGGGAGAGACGGTTGTGAATGTCGGTTGTTTATAAATGTTGGTTGGTAAATAGGTATTGGTTGTTGATTGATGTTTGTCGTTTGTTAATTAATGTCGGTTGTCTTGTTACTAACTTTTAGATGTTTTTAAAATTGGCTGTTGATTGATCTTTGTTGTTGATAAATGTCGGTTGTCCTGGTACTAATTTTTAGGTGTTATTAAATTCGGTTGATGGTTAATATTGGCGATTGCTAATGAATGTCGGTTGTGAAGAAATGTCGGTTGTTAATGTCAGTAATGTAAGAAACTTACTTGTTAGGATAGGAGGATGAAAGGATTAAATATTTTTGTCACTTGTTCTTCTATCCCTTCATCAACCCCCTATATACACTTAGCTTATCCTTAATTCACTCGTGCATTCTTTAATCCACTTATGTTGTTTCTATCCCTCATCCCCTCCCCTCCCCTTCCCCCCTCCCTTCCCTCCCTTCACTCACCACCCCTCATCCACCCCTCACCCAGCCCTCACCCTCACCCTCCCAGCCCTCACCTACCCCAAACCCACCCCTTACCCAGCCCTCACCCTCACCCTCTCAACCTACCAAACCCACCCCCCACCTCTCCACCCCTCTCCTCCCTCTTCACCCCCACCCCCCCTCACCCCCATCCCTCAACCCCCCCTCACCCACCCCTCCCTTCCCTCACCCACCGCCCTCATCCCTCCCCCTCCTCCCCCCCCCCTCTCCCCCCCTCCCCCCCCCCCCCTCTCCCTCCCCTCACCCACCCCCCTCACCCACCCACCCCCCTAACCCCTCCCACCCCTCACCCACCCATCCCTCACACCCCCCCTCCCCCCCTTTCCCCTCCACCCTCATCCACCCCTCATCCACTTACCCGGATGGTAGCGGACGCCGTACCACATACTGATGGGCATGGTGGCGTGGTGGACGACGTGAAGGAGCGAGATGTGGGCGTATTTCTTGTGCGCCACGAAGAAGATCTGGCGGTGGATGGGTGGAGTTGAATGGGTAGGTAAGTAGATGGATGGATGGATGGATGGATGGATAGGTAAATAGATGGATAGATGGGTGGATGGATAGGTAAATAGATGGATAGATGGATGGATAGGTAAATAGAGGGATAGATGGATGGATGGGTAGGTAAATAGATGGATAGACGGAGTTGAATGAGTAGGTAAATGGATGGATGGATAGGTAAATAGAGGGATGGATGGGTGGATGGGTAGGTAAATAGATGGATAGATGGGTGGATGGGTAGGTAAATAGATGGATGGATGGGTGGATGGGTAGGTAAATAGATGGATAGATGGATGGGGGGGTGGATAGATTGAATGGATAGATTAACTGATGGATGGATGATGGATGGGTGGGTGTATAGATAGAGTTAAATGGATAGATCAATTGATGGATGGATGGATAGATGGATAGAATTGAATGGATAGATTACTTGATGGGTAGGTAGGTGGATGGATGGGTGGATAGAGTTGAATGGAGAAATGAATAGACAGAGTTGAGTAGACAGATAGATGGATGGACAGATAGAGTTGAATGGACAGATAAATAGATGGATTCGTGAACTGCAAATGGTCACAAAATCTATCAGCCACTGATTTTGTCGAAATTTGTTCATATATCGTTCTCAGTGAAACTTAATTCATCTATGCAAATATTAACTATTTATCAAAACGATATTCATATATACATTTTATTAATGCCCATATTTTTTTTCTTTCTTACCGTATCGATAAAGTCGACGAATTTCGAGAAATAGTACCAATAAGCAGCGTTCAGCATCTGCAATGTTGAAAATACGTTAAACCTATTTCTTAACTTCGAAAAAAATAATCTTTTCACTTGAAAGAAACCTTATTTCAGCTTTAAGGAAGTCTACGAGTAATACTGTCAAGTTACAACGGAATTCGCTAGGAGAGGCAAACAAATAAACAACAAACGAACAAACAAACTAATGATAACAAATAAAAATAACTACAAAAGCAAGACAATAACAAAAACAAAAAGTCTCATCATTATAAAAATGGAAAGAAAACAGACAAATGAATTAAACATAGTAAAAAAAGAAAAACAAAAAACAAACAGAGAAAAGAGAAAAGAAAAAAAAGAAAAAAAAAAAACAAAAAACACGAAATCTGAAGTAAATTATCCTCACCCTAATTGCTCTTGGTTTGTTGCTGAAGTCACAAGGTTCACACACGAAGTTGTATTTCCCGAACCAGCCGGACATTCCAGACTGGAGAGAAGGGAGGAAACGATAGGTACTTTAGGCTTTTGGTTTTGTATGCTAGGGCTTGTTGCGAATGCAGAAAGGTAGTTATATGCATACATACATACATATG